TTGCTTCCTTCCTTGCTTCCTTGCTTGCTTCCTTGCTTCCTTCCTTGCTTCCTTCCTTCTTCTCCTCTCCTTCCTTCCTTCCTTCCTTCTTCTCCTCTCCTTCCTTCCTATTTTGTTCCTTTCATTTCTTCATTCTTCTTTCGTTCGTTCACTTATTACTTTCTTTCTTCCTTCCTTCCCCGTTCATACTTTCTTCCTATCTTCGTTTGTTGTTCCTTCCTACCTTTCCAGTTTTCTTTCTTCTCTCAGAAATGTTGTACAACTAATCGATAGACCGATATCCTACCTAATGGGTTTCTCGTGTAACTTTATTACTCATAGAATCAAAACCGAGCACCAGTAGAAAAGCTCAATTCAAAACTGGCTGAGATATTCAGTAAGATAGCTTCAAAGGAAAACACTCGGGAGGTGAGTAAATCTAACAAATAAAATAAAACATGAGAAAGAAGTCTAATTAAAAATATATATATTCTTATGGGATATATGTACGTCATAGAAGCCATGTTGGTTGACTATACAAAGCATTCCGCATTAAGCTTCTCTTGTAAGATCAACCAACATGGCGGCTGTTCCATTGTATTTTTATATTTCAAGGGATTTTTTGGCCACGTGGTTGCACAATAGACAATGAACCCAAATACAGCCGCTATTGACTTTAAGATATAAGTAAAACAATTTTATCAACGCAACTATCACTAAAATCAAGATGAAATATGTATTTTTGGAAATTTTCTTTACTTCAAAATAGAATTCAAGTGAAGAATCACTGGAATCAAAATTGCAGAGATCTCTATGTTGGACCGGCTATTCTTTAAACGTTTTTAAACTTTCGCAAAGTCCGCCGCCCGCTTTGTGTTTTTTTGTTGTTTTTTTTCGAATTTAAAAAAAAAAAACACCGGGAAACAAGAGAGGTCGACTTGGGGCAAGTCTAAGGGGTTTTCAACATTTTAGAATCTCTAACCTCTAAAGAATTCAATATTTCTACTTCATTTTTTTTCACTTTGTTGATATCATTGTAATCTATAATGTAAGAGAGCAGTGCTTCAAATGAATATTTTGTATTTTTTCCGTGTGTAGGGTCTTGTCCAACTGTACGAGTTCAAGCTCACCTATCCTCAAGCCGATATCGATCCTTACCTAAAGAAAACATCGCCTTACTTCCAAAACTACATAGATAGAGGTTTAAGGAATATTGAAATGGAAAGAAAGGGAAAAAAGGTCACTGGAAGTACCTCGTCTTCTACAACAATCATGTCTAGTGCGCCGGCATCGAAGACATCGGGTACGTTTGTGTTTGTTTGTTTGTTTGTTTGT